CGAAAACTAGTAATGAAAATAAATTTGAGTTTTTGTCGTAAGAGTATGTATTATATTATTTAGATCATCCTATTTTTACTTGGCCCACTTTTAATCTATAACTATTGTTTCATGTTCGTATGTGGCCCCTTTCCTTCTATGTTTAAGGTGCTTAAAATCGTCCCAAAGACTGATGCTTAAAATTTGATCGGAAACATCGTGAATGCACCAGACGTAATAGTCATGTACTAGAAGTGGACAAATTAAGACACATACCAAATGCGATTGACATAATATTGTAACACTAAAATGAATTAATTATTATATCCTTGATGCTTTAATTTAGATAAGATATTACCAATAAATAACATACCAAATTAGCATATATGGTTAATGTTTTTTTTCATAATTTTATTATTATAAACGTCGGCGTGTAATTAGGCTGTCAGTTATGCATATAAATATACGTAGTATAACCTTAACATTAGTGCCTTGCAATCTCTTGTCAAATACAAAAAAGCAATTTATTGAGACAGGGAATCGCAAAAAAAGTGTTGGTTTCAATGGCTTCATTTTTCAAGTTATTTCTGGTTGTTGTTATTATGATCGCAAACTTAGGTATTCATTATAATATGTATTGTTATTTTTATAAAAATGATTTACTCTCATTTTAGCTTATTATGAAGAAGATGGGAAGCATTTCAATTTTGTAGTTTTAATTTGTTGATTGAGGTTTATAATAATTGAATTTTATTTTTTTAAAGGTTCAATATCAGATGCTTATGGAAATAAGCATTTTGAACCAAAAGAGGCAATATGCACAGGAAGGTGTAAAATGAGCTCAGATTGCAAGCAGATCTGTGCAAATGCAGGGTATGGCTCACGTGGTGGTCTTTGCGGCACCATAGCTTCAAATCCCAACTTATGTTGCATTTGTTTTGCACAATGATTTAAGCAAGATATTCTAGAAGTTAATATAAATTTCACATGTACTAAGCTCCATTGAGTTTATACTAATATATACAATTATACAGTATATTGTATACTCTTATAAAGATCTTGAGAGTTGGTTTCGTTTTGTTAAAGATATCATGTCTGAACTCTGAACTTTTACCTTGATTAATGAGACTTTTATGATGTACACTACCTTGATGTTCGTTCAACGTGAACATCAAAGCAATGCTTGATAAATATTAATTTTTAACGTATGTTTGTGTGTTTCAGTTAAAAAGTAAACATGTTTCGGAATTTGAAAATAGTACCGTTATGTTTTTCTTCCCGAAATATGATTCATTAGTGTCGTTATTGAAAAATATTGTCATTGATGACAATAAACACCACGCCGAAAAGAGGTAACGAACAATTAAAACTAGGTCTGGGATTTTGGAACCGAGAACCGAAAAAATGTTTGGAACCGAACCGATATGAAACGGTTCGGTTCAGTTCCTGTTTTTGGGAGTTAAATACTTACCTGTTCGGTTCCTAATGTAAACTACCGGTTCGGTTCTCGGTTTTACATAAAAATATATTCAAGAAACCGATATAGAACGGTTAGTTCATTCTTAGTGGGTTATTCTATTTTGTAGTCCAAATCAGAAATAAAAAAGGGAAAATTTCAGAAATAGGCTAAAACGTGGAAATTATATCACTTTTGTCTCCTTCTAGTTTTCCTTTCAAAAATAGACGGGCGGACATTTTCTTTTCATAAATGGACTGCTCCCAGCCTCCCATAGTCCCATACGTATGCTTCATTTCCTCCCGGTTTCCCACTTTGGTGAACATTCCAGGTGGTGGACTGCTGGTATCCCATATAACACGCAAGCCACTTTTTATTAAAATTATAAAAATAATAAAAATTCAAAAAGATTACGGAGTATATTACATAGAAATAAATAAAATTATAAAAAAATTAAATTATACTTGTATTAAAATATAAATAAAAACTCAAAGTCAAGAAAAAAAAGCGTTATAAAAGTTCAAAGTTGAAAACTAGTAGATTATATTCAAAAATAAAATTAAAAATTAAAAATTATGTAGAAAATGAAAAAAATAACATGGAAATAGAAAAATGGAAAATAAAAATTAAAAAAAAGTTAACATGTTGGTAATTGTAAAAAAGTACATAAAAAGTAATGTACATAGTATGTTTTTAAAAAATCATTTATATAATAAATATAAACTTTCAATATATAAAAAAAAATCAAAAGTTTAATAGAAAGGATACAATCCTCTTTTTAGAGTGATAAAATCCTTAATAATCCAAAAAACGGCCAAATGTTATAAAAAAATACTGTAATTTATTTCAAACTAGTGAAAAACAATACAAAGAGTAAAAAGTCTTTTTTGTGAAAAAGTAATTATTTTTTTAAAATCAGATAAATACAAATGATTTTTTTAAAATAGAAAAATAAATATATAAAATTTGAAAATTTTAAATTTGCCGAATTGTGTTTTGTAATAAAGAATAGTAAATACAATTCATAACATTGTAAAAAAAATAGAAAATTAATATAAAGTAAGAGTGTAAAACATATAAGAAATTGAAAAAAAATAAATTATGAACTTGGTGAATTAATATCGTTGGAAAGTACCTGATTTTTTAAATTAATTGTTATCACTATCATTCTATTAGTCTTTTGTTGACTATTGTTTATTTTTGTTGATAATTCTGTTGTTTTTTATTGTTTATTCATGTTTCTTTTTGTTGATTATCATGAATCTAGATTTATTATTTTGGGTGCAAGTGTGTGTTGTTTTATTATTTGAAATAGTAAAAGTGAGCGGTAACATAAATAAACAAAAAATCAGCAACAAATAAGTGCCTATCAACAAAAAGCAACAAGATACTATAAAATGCAACATCATAAAACAATACATAATAAAATAACAAAGCAACACAATGCAACAAATAAGTGCCTATCAACAAAAAGCAACAAGATACTATAAAATGCAACACCATAAAACAATACATAATAAAATAACAAAGCAACAAAGTGAAACAATATGCAACAAAATGCAACACGTTGCAACAAGATGATGCAACATGATGCAACAAAAAGAAAATAACACATCAAAACAGAATTATATAAGCCCAACATACACAAATGTTCAATGATTACATAGTACAATTTATTTTTCAACTTTCATGATCGAAATTATAATTACAAGTTATACTAAAGTACAAGAAATTGATGCAGTCAACCAATAATAGTGCTATCCTCCATCCAATTGTCATTGTCTTGACAGTCTGCTGCAAAAAAACGAATAAGAGTGAAGTTATTATTACAATACGAGATTTCAGATACTATAGTCATTCCATGCTAATATTCATGATGTAAAGAGAATATGACAAAGGATCTAGATGTTAATTAAGAAGAAGATAAGAAGAAAGATGATCAAAGCAAGATACATAATAGTTTTGTTCAAGCTAGGTTCTTTTCATTAAATGTAGTTGTAGTTTAAATGGGAAGTTTCCAAAAGAGGCTAGGTGCCTAGGTCATTTCTGTGTGAACCATTTCTGCTTCATTGATTGAATAAGACTCTTACCCTACACCATGAAATCCCATAGAGAATAAAATGTCCTTGGAACTCAATATGAAAAAGGTGATTGTGTTTATTCATTCATTTTTCTTCCTTTACCTTTCAAATTTCACACTAACATCTTAAACCAAATCATCTTAATTACGTCTGTAGCTTTCACTACTCTATAAAATATTTCCCTAACAATATTTTGTGATCACTAAATCTTCTAATTGTTACCCCGAACAGATAGCAATTGAAATCATGACTTTCCATTCTTACCTGGGGAAGTCTAAGATATAGATGAAAATATATCAAGTACAGTGCAATTTTGGATATAATAAAACAATTTGTAAATAAAACAAACTGAAAGTGAAAATGTGGAAATCTAAAACACTAAACATCATGTGATGGAGGAAATATCAAAGGAAATCTGAAACACAATACAAATATGAAGGTAGTCAACAGAAATACAATGACAATTAGTAAATTTAAGGAGAGATGTTAAATTGTCAATACACACTTCAATACAATTATATAGCTGTGTTTTTCATATAAGAATGTATAATGTTCATATAAAAGTAATAAACAGTATGTATGAACACAATTTCAATAAAATGCATATGTAGGCTTATGACATCAAGTTTACCTCTAGTTGTTACACTTACAGTTGGCCTTCCAGGAAGTGTCCACCAAATAAACGTGTTTAGATTGCTTATTAGATTATTCTAAGAAATTATGTAGCAAGCTACCGGAGCCACAAGTACAGAGTATGAACACTCGATAATACATAAGTATTAATAGATCATATTGCATTTAACAAGTGCGTAGTCAAATTCGTCTTATAGGCACTAAATCTTAACATTTGTCTAACATAATTCGAAGAGAAAATAATTGATGTTTATTTTATTCAAACAATAAATGACTGTAAAGCATGTTCGTGCTTCGATTGTGAAGTGTTTTGTGCGTAGGAGGGAAGAATGAACCTTGATAGAGGCAAGAACAGGAAGAAGAGGCTCGGGATGAGTGATATCTTTAGCCAATATTCTCCACAGAGCCTGATAGCTCCACTAAGAACAAGTAGAGAAGTCGTCTTCTCAGATATTGAACCACCGCCATTATCGCTCATTCCTCAATCCTCAATATACGATCAGTCGGTGGCGGTGAATTTGGTGTTATCTTCCTTTGTCGGTTCGTCTCTCTCTCGATTCCTCTAGATTCCGGTAATCAGGATTTCTGGATAAACTTGTGGATGTCATTCGATTCAAACGAACGGAAGCGAGATCGTCCGAGTTGATGAAGCTCGGGAGAATGGAGAACGAGGGGAGAGACAGAGAGTAAGTTTAGGTTTTTAATTTGGGATTTTAGATTTAGGTTCGATGTGTTGGATTGATCGGTACTTGGTTAGCGTTAAGAGTAAGACTTTTTTGAAATAGAAAAGCTAAAACTGAAAAAGGGAAAGTGGACCTAACTGGATATTTCCACAATAAAAAATATACGCAGTACAACTCGCAGCCCATTCGCAGCCCACAACTCCTTTAGTCCGCTTCATCGAGTGCAACAAGGATTTGCCGATTAGGAGGAAACCCCTAGCCACACCGCTCATCTTCTACTATGCTCTTCCATTCACTCTGTCAAAGATTTCACGGATTCATCAAAGGAGTCAAGGAGAGGTCATAGACAGTAGGTACGTTTTTCTTGCTCTTGGTATGTATTTAATTTAAACTTTCGAACCTCCTAGCAAAACCAACGAAGCTTCTGAAGTTTTGAGAATCCGTTTGTGAAGCAAGACTGCCAGTGTGACAGAGTTTTGCAATCTCCTTTCTAGAATATGGAACATCAAAATTAAAATTGAAGCTTTTAATTTGTTTCGAAAATTGAAGTTTCTGACTTCTGTTTTGGAGGAGTTTAATCTCTTCCTCCATTTTGTTTGTAAATTGGGTTTCCACTACATTTATCATCTTTTTCACACATCCTAATCTTTCTGGTGATTTTTTTAATCCTTTTTTGTATTTAGTTTCCACTGTTCCATTTTAATTTCTGTATGCATATATACATAAACGATATGAAAAATAAGCTAATTGCATCCATTCTTTGAATAGTATTAGGACTAGATTTGATAATGACAACTAAAGCATACCAAATGTTTGAAAAATATGTCTATAACATACGTATTACCCCATTTTTCATTCTAAAAAACTGTGTTTTTTTTCAGCTATTAATATGCAACTTCGATTCGTCAAGACCAGATTGCAACATCATATGACATAAATATGATGTTAATTTTGAAGTTATGGACTGAATTAATGTACTTCTTTTCTGTAAGGATAATTGTACTTTTTTTAAGCTCCAGTGTAGTACTTTTTGAACCATTTAACTTTCATGTTTCAATCAATCCTAACTTTTAACAATCCTGAACTTGTAATTATAAATTTGGGGGTTATTTGAAATGGGGTTATAGTTAGATGGATTGCAGCTTTGTGGAGTATTTTAACTTTTTTTGTGGTGGAAATTGGTGCATTACAGTTTTTTAAGAACCGAAAAATGTCAAGAACCGAACCGTTAACACTTGTTTCGGTTCCATAATGGTTCTAGAATTTTTTGTTGGGAACCGAACCGATATAAAAAATTGTGATTTTAAAAACGGTTCCTCCAATTTTGAAGAGGAACCGAACCGGTCCCAGGCCTATCTTTTATGCAACTTCGAAGACCAAACTGACCCTTTACTCGTTTCCAATAGGTAGGAACAAGAATGTTAATAAAAACAAGGTACACATTGACAATTGACATAGTTGATGAATGTAATGACTGCCCTCATGATTCGCAAGCCCTGGATGAGTGCTAATTCACTGTGGGGTAGAACTAATAGAGTGCGGGCTGCATGCCAACTGTTCAACGAAAAGTCTAAACGATGAAAAGGATGTTTTTTCAAAATTTATGCTTCTCTATTAATGGATCATATAGTTCATACTCAGGAGTCATAATGCCTTACTAGACCATATACTTGACCTCATTCTCCTACTGATCATTAAATTACTCTTTCTCACAAGTCACAAGTAATTTAGGGGATTTTTTATTTTCTAGTATACATTTTGGAGATTTAAAAATGATGAAAGTTATGCTTTGGAGTTAAAATTAACAGAGGGTTATATATAGACTATAAATTTTATTTTGACAGATTTTTTAGCCCCACAAAAGATGAATGGTATATATGTTGTGTGAATTGCAGTTGGAGGTTATGTATTTTCCTTACCCATGCTTTTACTCATATGATATACAGATAGTTTTTACTTTAGATACATAAACCAGTTTATTAGTTGGAATGACATTAAGTCACTAATTTATTAAATCAACCAATGATTAATTCTAATACTTTCATTTTTTTCTACTTTGACAACTTAATCAGTTCATTATGTTGTTCCTTTAAGTCACAAAACTTGGTATCTTATTGACTCAATTAATTTCTAAGTTCATTCAGAATGATTTATGCGGAATAACATGCATTTTCTATTATGAACTTTCATACTTTAAATATGTCATACTTCGTATGTGTATCTTGTATGTTTTTGTTGCAGAAACATATGCCATATGCCATATGTTTGACCTGAGTTGTTTTATGTAGCAGAAATTAAAGAAAGATCGAGGTCACTTAACAAACTTTAGAAGATTTTTTAGGAACCGAAAAAGGCAAGAAGCGAACCGTTTACATTTTATTAGTTTCCAAAACGGTTATTGATTTTTTTAGTAGAACCGAACTGAATTTAGAAATTACTACCTCCGTCCCCCTAAGTTTGGGACAAAAGAAGGTGGCACAGTTACTAATAAAAGTGGGTTTATGTGGTTGATATTAAATTGATAAAGTAAGAATAAAGTAAGAATGATTTAGAACCACACAAATTTTACCAAATAAGGTATGAGACAATCTTAGTGGGACGGACCGAAAAGGTAAAATGGGACAATCATAGTGGGACAGAGGGAGTATATATTTATAAACATTTCCGTGATTTTCTAACTCGAACCGAACCGATACCAGGCCTACTACCAAACATGCACTAAGTGTGCGACGCGTTTCCCTTTTTAAAAAGTTAACTTCAGTCGGCCCGACAGTAAGGATGTTTTTACTTGGAGTATTTTTAGTCCAGACTAGACCTAAACAAACCAGACCAGAATTTAAAACTATCTCATCAAAATAAATAAATAAATAAATAAAATATTTTCATTTGAAATATTCTTAATTTTTCCAACAAAAACTCTACCTTTGCCATTTTCATCTAGGTCTTTCATTTTATAATTTCATAGATTGGAAAGTTTCTTTTATACTCAACCAATCTGACTTGACATCCAATACAGTCCGACCATTTTCTTATTTTCTATTAATTAAAATTTCCCTTATATAAGTTATAGTAATTTAAGTTACTGAGATTCTAAAACCATATTTTATATGCCCCAAAGGTTGTGAATGAGGATTTTATATGACATCTTGATTGTTCTTCAGATTTTGATAGAATATGTATTATTAAGAAAACAATATGTGGTTGTTAGTATAAAAAGTTAGACTCTTAAGAAAACAATATGTATTTATTATTTATTGAGGGTGATGAACAAGGAATCAAGAGGGGTCAGGTGGTCAGTTGACCCCATGAAAGTTAGAGAATATGAAACACTAAATACCTTTGATTTGATATATTATGACTCCGTAGGTCATTAGATTTACGAGTAAAATATCTAGACTTTTGAAAAATCAACACTATGTAAACTTGAAATGAGTAAAATTTGATTCTAAAAAATAAATAAGTAAAATTTTGATGAGTAATATTGTTTATATTATGAAATTTTAAAAATAACGTTTCATTCACTCATTAATTACGTGATGTTCATAATTTATATGACATATATTGCAAATGCATAACTTAAAAAGTGCAACATTTTAAGTTAGGCTAAAGTGTCAAATAGGCCTAGAACTAACTTAAAAGTGAAACATTTTATCAAATGTATTGCACTGTTTAACTGCGCAGTTATCTTCAAAATTTTATTTGACTGTCTTCCCGATTGAATTTTTAGCTGAAATTTGGCATGAGTAAACTAGACTTAAGGAAGAAGATGCTCAAAACATTTCATAAAAAAATCCATCGGGACCACCCCTATTGGCGACGGTTGGACAGAGCCTCTTATCTAAGAGGTGAATTACACTTTTTAAGTTAGTTAGAGGGCGTATTTGATCCTTCAGCCTTTAAATTATCATTATCTAAAGCTACATATGAACATTCAACTCGAGTATTGTTTGAAACGAACAATCAATTTATCATGTAATTAGTTAAGTTTCAACCTCTTGAGTCCCTTTTCTAGCTCCGCCACTAGGGATGAAGTTTATGTTGACCATGTTCTGTGTTCGTATTTAAATATACTTTAGGGAGAATAATTAACCATCTCGTATAACTGATTTTGATTGTGTAAAATGTTTATAGGAATAATATTATTGGGATCATTTTCTAAACTTGATTGAGTAATTACAATTGGAGAGCTGAAATATTGCAATTCGTGGCCTAAGAATTACAACCAGCGAGCAATTAGAATTGATATTGTTAACTCATACTTAGAGCTTGTATGGTTACTTAAGCTCCTCCTCTTCAGCTTCGGGTTCGGGGGTCGGAGGCTCCGGGATCTCCCCTCTGGCCTTGGCCTCTTCCCGGCGCCGATCCCTCCCCAACTTCCCCAAAGCTTGGATCAACAGGTCGTCGTCCGTGTTCGTAGCAAGGTCAAAATCGGCCCCCTGCAGCTTGGCAAAGATGGGGAGAGTGGCCTTAACCCCCTCATTATATCCAGCGGCGAAGGTACTGTCGCCGACCTCGTAGAGGAACTTGTGGGACAGGGTGGAGCTCTCTAGGATCCGGACGTCGCACGTCAGACGCTGCTTGGGCGGTATCTTCGCCAGAGCTGCCGAGAACACGTCGACGAAGGCCCTAGCGCAGTAATCCTTGGCCGAATCCATGAACTCCCCGGTGTTCCTATAGCCGGAGGTATCGACCAGCCACTATGGGACTGCATCCTTCTCAATAGGGAGCACCGGCACAAGCTTGAAGCCGGCTTTCTCAAGACTGGCCAGCTGGCTGTGGGATTCAGCCCGCAGGGCCTGGAGCTCCCTCTCCTTGGCCGCGGCCTCTGCTTCAGCACGACGGGCGGCCTCCCGGGCTTTGGACACGGCGGCATCAACTTTCGTTTTGGCCTCTCTCAGGTTGGCCTCCCTGGCAGCCTCGGCTTGCAGGACAAGTAGCCCAGACTGGACGAAGGAAGAAAAGAGGAACCCCTGGTCAGAAGATGAGCGACAAGAAGAAGATGTACACAAGTCTAGTGTTGAGGAAATACCTGAATGGCGGCTGCCAAGCAGCGCTAGTCGCCTCAGAAGACGAACGGGGGGGCAGCTCAAGGCCAGCCTTGAGGGCTAGCTCCCTCTAGAGATCTACCGCCGGACGGCTCAGAGGCAGAGAGCCGGCGTCTTCGAGCAGAGGGCCGGTGGAACCCGCATCGCGACTCCTCTTATGTTTCTTCTCCGGGGCCTTCTCTGCCCCCCTTTGAGAGACCACCGGCGTGGGGGCAATCGGCGGAGGAAGAACGGCCTCGATCTGCAGGGTTTCGGTCCCCTGGCCAAACACAGTGGAAATAAGGTGTTGCTCACCTTCGGCCGTTCGA